TCAAACAAAATAAGCATGACCATTATCTGTGTGACTGGGAGAGTCGCTTAAGCACACTTAAGTTCTCATCTATAACATAAGGGGTTTGGACAATACATTCTCTGAGTTTCCTTCTAGTTCTAATTTTATTGTTCTAGTCTATGAATTTATCAGATGTATTGCAGAACAGAGATTGTGGGTGAAGTTTTCCCAATGTGTTGTAATTCTGACTTCTGGGGCTAAACAAAACATGTCTAAGCCTTTTCCCACATGATAACCTTTAATATTTGATGACAACTATCTTGTCCCATAGAAGTCATCTTTTCTCCAGGCTTTACTTCTCTAATACCTTCAACTGATCCAAGTATGAAATGGTTTCAAGGCCCCTCACCAGCCCTAAGCCTCCTCCTCTGTGTATATTTCTAACTTATCAATGTTTATAAACTTGGTAACTTGCCCTGGACATAGTATTCCAGGTATTTTCTCTCCAGGGCAGAATATTGAGGCACTGACACTACATTTCTATTAATGCATCTGAAAAACACATTAGTTTTTTTTTTGTTGTTGTCTTGTCACGTTGTTTATACTGAATTTACTGAAACCGATAGTTTCTTTTCACATAAATTGTCATCTATTCATTCTCTTCTATCCTACACTTGGAAAATTGATTTAAAAACCAAACCAAACCATAGCAGTGTATTTCTATCCTTCAACTTTTGTCTAAATAGATTTGGTCTAACATTTTACTTATAAAAACTCCTTTGAATCCCAGTTTTGCCTTCCATCATGTTAGTCTTCTGTCCCAGCTTCATGCCACTCAAAAATTTGATAAGAATACCTGCATCCAAATAATTGACAAAATGTTCAACAGAACAGGAACAAGAATAGCCCTTGGTGGTTCTCTTTTATATACATTCTTGTAAATTTATATCTAATCATCATTCTCCTTTATTTTGGGTATTAACACTCAATTAGTTCTAAATCCACTTAACTATACTACTATCCATTAGCATGGCAGAACCTTCCAGATCATGTTCTCCACTGGCATCTCCTTCAAGAACCCACAGTCACCTCCTTGTCACAATGAAGCATCAGAGCAGGGCTTAGTGGAGGATAAGATCCTGCACATTAAATAAAAATATATTTTAATATTCATTGATTTGAATGCAGAGAGGAGCATAAAGGGGAGCAGAAAATATGGTTTGGAAGCAAGAAGCAAGAGACATTAAAAGCTTATTAGATTATACAGAAGCCTTACATCTATATATCATGACTACTTTCTTCAAGAAAAAGTTGTGAAGCATTAAATATGATTAATATTATATAACATAACCAAAATTAAACTTACTATTTTTTAAAGACAGGAAACAATTGACTACTGATGTAGAGGATATTTCTGGATCACCTGTCTGTGTACCAACAGACCGCCAATTTTGTTTGGGCAAAGATGAAAACTGACACCAAACTGGAAGAAATAATAAAATTGAGAAAAGATATTTTGTCCAACTGAGGCAATTCCAACATTATCTATTGACACAAGGATTTGACACCTCCAAATAGAGGAATGGAAAATAGAAAAAAACATTGACATATATCTCCACCATTTCCTAAGGATTTTTAACCAATGTAAAGTAACAGTGTAACACGCCAATGAGAACAAAAGTGCCTAGAAATTAATTCAACCAGTAAACACTCGATCTTCATGCCAGATAAACTTTACACATGGTCCTAGGACCTGACCTTCTTAATTCCAAGAATAAACCTACTGAAGCAGAAAGAGCCTCATTGTTAGTAGGCTGGCCACTTGGTGACATATTCTTTGTTCCTAACAATCCATAAAACGAAAAAGATAAAATCTCCCTCAATCCTGTGCAGCCCACTACTGTTTCTACAATGATTGTGGAAAAGGGAGAAGATGCTAAAAAATTAATTTTTAGATAATCCAGAAAACTTAACTTGGCTCTTGGTACTCTAAATATGAGATGCTCATCTTGTGATGAGAGAATGGATGTGCTGCTACTGGATAAACTGAATTGTATTAATCTTGTAATTGCTACAAACAAAACCAAATAGTAAGATGAATTTGTGGCAAAACAGAAAGATGACTTACTGGTTTTCCTTGGAAAAGCAAATAAAGAAGTTGGAAGTTGGTTTTGTTGTGCATTCAGAGGCAACAAGGAATATAATTTCATGGGACATTAGGCCATCTTGCATTGGAGTGTTCATGATGAGCATTTGCAAAATTGACCATCATGAAAATTATTGTAGTTTATGCACCATCATCTATTGCAGAGGATGAGGAAGCAGAGAGATTTTGTCATGTACTTGATAAAAAACTTCCAAATTAAATAGACATTAAGTCAAACAGAATATAAGAAGACGTCTTCAAATACTTTGCTGAAATATATTGTAAATACGTTTACCACATTTCCCTGACCTACTAATCTAGTAACTGTCAAGCATGGAAATGAATTTAGTCTGTCATTGCTTATTCTTGATAGACCCATACTGGCTCATAGTGATTGATTACTACTTTTGTTTCTGCTTTCAATGGTCCCCACCAAAATGGTTTCTACCATTCTAATAGGCAGTATGGTATAGTGGAAATAGTGTTGATTGGGTTTAGAATCAAGAATCCTACTTCTGACACACAGTGTTTGTGGGACTAAGGGCAAATCACTTAATTTCTATAAGCCTCAGTTTCCTCTTCTGTAAAATGAGGGTAATGAAACTTGTAATGCTTACCTCAAAGAGTTACTGGAAGGATAAAATGAAATGATGTATGTAAAATACATGAAAAAAAACTAAAGTGCTATATAAATAATCAGTTAATAGTATTATTTTCCTATGTTTCAGTTCATGAATCTCCTCAAAGAGATATCTGAATAACTTCTGAATATATACTAAGACCTCACTACCCCATTTATCTAGTCTATTCTTTATAATTAAAGCACACCATTCTATCACCATATTGTAGTCATTACTACATCCTATCACATCTTAGGGATATCAGTGTGAGATAATTTATCTTTTTGTATTAAGATTTCTAGTTGATTTTATTTACCATCCACACTTCATGATTTTGGGTGCAAAAATCTGAGATAATAAAATTATTGCCCTTCTTTATTGGATGTTGGGGTTTTGGTCTTCAATCATTCGTTTGTTTGTTTGTTTACTTATTGTGAATCATTGGGTGACTCTCCAGTGCTATTTCTTTTTCCTATATGTTTTTATGACTCACTGCAGTGGTTGGCTTAGGGTGCAAATATGGTTATTTTCCATCCTTTTTGAGCTTAATGCTTCCTTGGTCAGATCCAAAAGTTCTTCACCCTTGTTAGATGCATTCTACCCTCTTCCAAGAATCGATATTATTTTTATCTTAAGCCTGCGTCCAGAAATACAAATCCAGTTTTACAACACCATCTTCTCAACTAGTGTTCATTTCTTAAAATTGTCTTTTTCATCTGAAGCCTCTCCCTGCAATCAGCAGGGGAGACATAAAAGAGAAAAACCAAATACCTGTGCCTCTGGGTTTCCTTGCCTGAAACTTTATAATCCCTAGAGATGCTTTCTAGGTTCCTTATGGCTGTATCATTTGTCCCCATGTGAATCACCAGAAGTGCATGTTGGTTGTCAGCTTTGACAACTCTCTGGAGGCTCTTTGTCATGTTCTAGATAGATGGCCCAGAAAGAGAGTCTATCTCTCATTGGTTCATGTTAGGGCTGCCTCAGTTCTCCTCAATAAGGAATAACCAGCCACCGTTGTTTCTTTCTTTTAATAAGCTATAGTTGGCTTCTCAAGTCTTGGCAGAACCTTTGAATCATTCTCATTGTCCTTGGAGCACAGGAGGCTATTTTCTACTCGTTGTCTAGCTCTGCTCTCTAAAGGAAGAGAAAGTCAGGGTTAAAAGAGAAAGTGGAGGATTCTTGGTCAAGGGCTCTGGTTTTAAATCCTGGCTTTGTTAGACACTTGCTACATGACTTTGGACAAGTCATTTAACTTCCCTGGGCCTGAGTACATTCATATATAAAATGAGAAAGCTAGACTGTATGATCTTGAAGGACATTCCCACCTCTAGTTCCTGTATTAAAAGATTTGAACTTTTTGAATAGTTTCAATAGTTTAATTACCCTCTTTCTTTCCTTATCTTCATGATGTGCATCTAATTTCTAAACTCCCAACATTCCCCTCTGCCATAGCACCTTCTCTTGAAGCATTTCTTCTATTGTTTCAAGCAACACTTCATTCTCTATGCTAAACTGAAGGATACGAGAGCTACTCCTCCAAGCAGCAATTTAAATTTCTCTTCTGGTAGTTAGAACAACCTGAATTTTGTACACATGTTGTTATTTGGCTCTAGAAGAAATGCAACATATTGTAATCTCTACAGGTCATTGGAACATCCCCATCATGTAGATACTTTCTGAAACTTGCTGAGCAGTCTCGGTTCTCTGCCATTCTTACTGTTAACTCTTGATTCCAACTTCCAAGTCACGTTGCCTGTTGGCTTTTGAAGCTCCTGAATTCCATACACGCGCACAGCCATCCACACTCATATAATACATTTGCTCATTAAAATAAGAGAAAGTAGTGGAAAGAACAAAGAGACACATAGAAACAGTGAATTTCTTCCCATTTTCCCAAGTTGCTTCACCTTTTTCAAAAGCCATGGATCTCAGCCAGATCAGAAGAATATCTCCTTAAGGTCATCCTGGTAAATACCAAGGGTACTCAGGGGGAGCAGGTCCTAAAATGGCTGCCAGAAGATGCTTTAAGATGCTGTTAGTGGATGTCATGGGTATACAGTGGTTTTCACTAAGGAGATATTGTAAGAATATGCTCTTGCTGTGGTAGTAGATTGTTTGAATAGAAATAAGAAGAGTAATTTGCCATAGAAGAAATTACAGAATGAGAAGAATCTACAGTTGAGTAATTAGTTGATTAATGACACTGGGAAACAATGTGGAACTTTGTGGGAATTTTGTGACTAACTTCATTTCCTTTTCTTCTTTTTTGACAGGATTTACTAGACTGGTAGATCAGGAGGATGCTATGGATATAGGCTAGTAGGATGTCAGCAGTGTATTTCAACACCAATCTTATCACATCCTTGTGGACAAG